TTGTCCTTTTGTGACTAGCTTACCTCACTCAGCATAATGTCATTAAGGCTCATCCATGTTGACATGGATCAGAACTTCCTTTCTTTCTGAGGCTGTATAATGTTCCATCGTACGTACAGACCACATTTTGCTCATCCGTTCACCCATCAGTGGGCACCTGCATTGCTTCATCTTAGCTACTGTGAATAATGCTATGAATATGACTGTGCAAATGTGTCTTTGAGACCCCGCTTTTGATCCTTTTGGATATACACCTGGAAATGGAATTGCTGGGTCATATGGTCATTCTATTTTTAAATTTTTGAGGACCCTCCCTACTGTTATCCACTATGGCTGTACCATCTCCAATTCCCACCAAGAGCACACAAGGATTCTAATTTCTCCACATCCTTGCCAACACTTGCTGTTTTCCGTTTTTCTAATAATAGCCATCCTAATGGGTATGAGGTTGTTTCTCACTGTGGTTTTGACTTGCATTTCTCTAATGATTAGTGATGCTGAGCAACTTTTCCTGTACCTCTTGGCCATTCATGTATCTTCTCTGGAGAAATGCCTATTCAAATCCATTGCCCATTTTTGAATCAGGCTCTGTTTTCTTGTTGTTGAGTTTTAAGAGTTCTCGATATTTTCTGAATAATGACCCCTTATCATATATATGATTTGCAAATATTTTCTCCCATTCTGTGGGTTATCTTTTTACTCTAAGGATAGTGTCTTTTGATGTATAAAATTTTAAATTTTTCACGAAGTCCAATTTGTCTATTTTTTCTCATGTTACCTGGGCCTTTGGTGTCATATCTAAGAAATCATCACCAAATCCACTGTCATAAAGCTTTTGTCCTATGCTTTCTTCTAAGAGTTTTATTGTTTTAGGTCTAACATTTAGGTTCTTGATCCATTTTGAGTTAATTTTTGCACCTGGTATTAGGTAAGTGTCCACTTCATTCTTTTGCATGTGGATATCCAGTTTTCCAGCACCATTTGTCGAAAAGTCTATTATTTCCTCATTGAATGGTCTTGGCACTCTTGTAAAAACATCATTTGACCATATACGCAAGAGTTTATTTCTGGGCTCTCAATTTGATTCCGCTGATCTGTATGTCTGTCCGTATGCCAATAGCGCACTGTTTTGATCACTGTAGCTTTGTAGTAAGTTTTGAAATCAGGAAGTGTGAGTCCTCTAGTTTTGCTCCCTTTTCAAGATTCTTTTGGCTTTTTAGGATCCCTTGAGATTCCATATGAATTTTAGGGTGGGTTTTTCTATTTCTGTAAAAGCCCAATATTTATTTTATAGTCAGTATATTTTGGAAATACGCTGTGTATTTTCAGGAAAAAAGTCTCAGATTTTGGATCAAATCTGTCATGCTTCTAGATTTTATCACAGGTACAATGTTCACTGTCTCATCCAGACTCCAGCTCTCAGGAGGGTTATATATCTATAGGCCAGGAGCTACCTTGGCCAGTGGGATTAAAAAAAAGAAATGTGTACTAAGTAGTCACTCAACCACCATTTCTAAGGCTGTATATGGTGGCAAACAGTGCCTCCCGCCCAGAGAGTTGTATAGTGCACAACCCACCCAACTGGACACAATAGCCTTCCCTGCTCATAACTTCTAGCACAGCATCCGTGCAGCTCCATCCTCTCCAGGCATCATTCTTCATCCTCTCTCCACTCTGCCATCAACAACTATGCCTAGGGCATACTTGCATACGTTGTTGGTGCATGTAAATAGGTTTAGAGGCTAATTAAACTCTAGCCTCTCTGGAAGGTACTTTAGTAATAATTATCAAAACTCTGAAAAAAAAGTGCTTACTTTTTGAACCATCAACTCCACTTCTAGCAATTAATCTTACAGCGAAAATGAGGTAAGTGTGCAAAGACATATGAACAAGGATGCTCTTCATTATATATTTTATATAGGAAAGAAAACGAGACTGTCCAAACAACTATGGTTAAATAAATTCTGGTTTGGTGCATTCACAGAAAGGACTATCACAGAGCCATTTAAATTTGTGAGACAGATCTTCGTGTTCTGACAAAGACAGGTGTTCTCAATATATCACTAAAGGCAGAGAGCAGGCACAAAACACTGTTGATTATCACAATTTTATTTAAAAAATTATTTATGTGAATAGGAAAAATTCTAAAAGGATGAATGCATCATATAATTTTAAAAACTTTTATGTATTATCTTTTTTCCACAATAGTAATATATTAATTAAGCAATAAAAAAAGAAATAGGTTTTAGAAAAATTCGTTCCTTCGGGTAAGCTTCCTCTCTCCAACCAAGCCTCTAGCTGATATAGGCCAGTCTTTTCCTAGGACATATTGGGATGGTGGTTCTGCCTGCGTGGACCCAGATTTTTATTTTGTACTAATAACCTCCTTCATATGCAAGTCATCAACAGTCTAGAAATTTTTATATTGAAAATTAGGATTATCAGGACTCCAGCTGCGACAGAAATCCATCCTGAAGAGGATTCACTGGTACAAATGAATCCAGGCGCTCCAACAACATCCTCTGGACTCAGCCCCTTCCCTGGTCTCAGCCCCTTCCCTGGTCTCAGCTCCTTCCCTGGTCTCAGCTCCATGCGGCCCTGCAGTCACTTCTCCAGCGGCTCCTCACACAGCGGCAAGGTGGTTGTTGAGAATCTAGCTCCTCAGCCACCCCCGTCACAGAGAAGCCTGCTCCGTCCCAACAACTCCTATGAGAATCCCAGAGTGGAGTTTCACTAGGTGTGACCGGCCTTCCCCTGCCCATCCTGAGCTAATCCCTGTGGCAAGAGAGACGGGACGTTTGAGTATCCAAGCTGGCTCAGGCCCACCTCTACAGCAAGGGGAAGGAGGGACCCGTACGCTTTGTTTACACCAAGCTGTTCTTCCGTGGGTGCCTCATTCACCCCAGGTCGGTTCATTGTTGACAAATCAAACTCTATTGATTGCATAACTGCACAGATTCTCATTGTTCTCTGCAGGGTCTCCGATTTTTTTTTTTAACTTTGCAAAGCCACAAAGCAGGCTGCTGAAGCAACCTTGCACTGTACTATTCATCAAATAATGTTAATGATTGACACCTTTGTGATTCTCAGTTGTCACGATGCCTGGAGGGAGAGCTGACGCTGGGAGGAGGGGAAGATGGCATACCACGCTGGTGTCTAGGCTCATTAGACAGAATAAAATAAAACAAATGCGTAAAAGGCATAAAGCACAGGAGCTTATTTAGACAGAATCAATATTCAGTGGATTTATCTGGTGTCTGACTCCTAAATCCTTAAAGAAATTTCCATCTCATGGCCCATGAGAACCTCATCTGAACATCAGTTTTCTCTGTCAGTTGGTACCTACTGCATCCAGTATCTCATAAGCAGAAGAGCACTATTGATGTTTGGCTTGTCACCAAACACACTTCAAAAAGAAGAATGTTCAACAGAGGACCAGATTGCATTCAAAATATCAAATGGATTTTAACCCCCTCCCCAAGTTTTGCACGTTGAAACAATCTGGTTTTTCTAATCGTTCATCTAGTATTTTGAAAGAAGAAAGAGGAACACGTCTACTCCTACAGAAGTGCTTAACGTCGAGAAATAGCTATCGGGAACCTATTTACAATGATAATAGTAACGTCGCAACTACCAAGAGTGGTTCACTTCAAATAGCCTTTCATTCGATGGGACATTTCTGTTCATGTGGTGGGTTAAAAAATATTTTTATGAAACGTCTGGCTGGTTTTATAATAACCAGTGAGGATGTCAGATTTCTAGATTTTAAAACTTCCTGGCAAGATTATTATTCAGTCTTAAAAAAAAAAGGAAGGATGTTCTGACACATGCTACAATTTAGATGAACCTTGAGGACATTATGCTGAGTGAAAGAAGCCAGTCACAAAAGGACAGATTCTGTCTGATTCCGCTTACATGAGGTGCTTAGAATGGCCAAAATCAGAGAGACAGAAAGTGGGAGGGTGGTTGCCAGAGGCGGGGGGAGGGAGGAATAGGGATTTAATGGGCCCAGAGTTTCAGTTTAGAAAGACGGATGGTAGTGATAGTTGCAAAACAATGCAAATGTACTTAATGTCACTGAACTGCACACTAAAAATTGGTAAAAATGGTAAATTTTATGTTATGTACATTTTACCACACATACAAAGTTCTGTGGGAGACTCTATTTTTCCTTCATGGTGTTTGAAAAAGTACAAGTAAAGGTTTTTGGTCATGTAAAAAACTTCATGTTAAGTGTCTAAGGAGAGAGGGCGCATTACATGAGTGCTGGCTGTAAAAGTACCCTCCGTGAATTCCTGAAAATCTCTTTCTCTAGTCATAGGATATTGTAAGTGTTATTGACAAAACCAGGCCAGAAATCAGGAATATTACTCAGCCATAAAAAATGAAATCTTACCATTTGCAATAGGATGGATGGACCTTGAGGATATTATGCTAAGTGAAATAAATCAGAAGGATAAAGACAAATGCTGTATGATTTCACTTGTCTATACAATATTTAAAAAACAAACGAACCAAAAAGCAAAATAAATGAGCTCCCCAAACCAAAACAAAACAAACATAAAAGAACAGAAGAGCAGTTACCAGAGGGGAAGGGGACGGGGTGGGGTGGGGGAGAGTGAAATGGGAAAAGGGGATCACCTGTATGGTGATGGTGGAAACGACATTTTTGTTGGTGAGCACAACGTAGTGTATACAAAAGTAGAATTATAATGTTGTGCCCGTGAAACCTACAAAATGTAATAAACTATTGTCACCACAATAAAAAGTAAGTTTAATAAAAAGGTTGGAGGGTACTTTTAATGGTAACTGCAAAATAAGTTTTGGCAGAAATTCTAAATTACTCTTAAAGACCTATTTTACAGAGATCCTATTTCTGATTCTGGATGTCAGTGACAATATCCTATGTTTCAAATTCATCTAAAGGGTTGTCCTCTGGGTCCTCCACATCACAAAAACTCCCCACCAGGCCAAATGCTGTAATTGCACATGACTCCTACCAGATATGCTCTCCAGAAGGACTGGATGTAGAGCGCGGCTGCTTCTTCTGTCAGCAGGAGGGAGAGTGGGATTGCCGGCCGTGGGCTGAAAAGCAATAAAATGGTCATATGCCCATGAGAATCCATCCTTCAGCCTCAGCAGAGTCTTTGACAACATAATGGCCTCTCTGATTAAGCGCCCCCCATCCCCATTCTTAGAAAGCAACAATGTCATTTTTGATAGAAAAGTTTAGGCTTGAGTTAGCATTTCTTTATTTTAAAATCTGGGATGGATTTTTTTGTTTTTAACCAGCATAACTTTAAATCACTGTTAGCCTGCTCTGCTTTGAAGGACGCAAGTTGGAAAGCTGGGTGTTAGTTCAGAAGGTGCAACATACATATTATTCATGTTACACATGGACATAAAGCAAGAGACAAAGCAGAAGCCACTTTATATACTGCATTACGACTGAGACATAATAAAGGGCTCTTTTTCCAGCTCTCTGTTGAAAGGGACTTACGTAGTCCATTTCTTTCCTGAAAGCAGGATATTGGAATTTATTTCTGATCAGTGTGTATTCCAGTTTAACGTGGTTTAAATTCCACGTTAAGTTCTTCTACTACGTCTTAATAAGCAACAAAATAGCTCAAGTACTGAGTGAATTGACAGCGTCTGCTCTTGTGGGATTTTTAGATTGTGATGGGATTTCTGATCATAGACACCACATTTAAAAATCATGGCTAAATGCCCTTTTCTTTTTGGTTTATTTCCTAAAAGCTTTTTAGAGATACTAACTGCTGAGAAGATTTTACAAGTCTGACTTAATTCTGGTTCCTCATGTTTCCCCAAAGCACAGATAACTCTGAAAAGCCAAAAGTCAAGACTTTTCAGATATAGTACAAAGAAATAAACCTCTGAAAGGATGTGGGTCACATGGAGGCTGCTCTCAGGGCTGCCACATCTCCAGAAACGACTTTGCAATTGAACCTTGGCCTCAAGGCCCTCCCTAGTGACAGCTAGCATTCGAATTTACAGTAACTCTCACTGTACAGAGAGGCTGGCTAACCTGTCCAAGGTCACACAGCCTGTAACTCAATCCCAAAGCCCAGGCTTCCCTCACAATGCCATGCTGACACCGGACCTCAGCTGGGGAACCACCTCCCGATACCCAGCCTGACAGACTACAGAACTAACTGGCAACATTGTACAAGTCTCCAAGATCTGAGATTTTATTTCTCTCTAAACTCAAGACTTAACAACAACAAGAACAATAGCATAAAGACTCTATTCAATATCTTGTAGTAACCTGTAATGAAAAAGAATATGAAAAGGAATGTATGTATGTGTATGGATGACTGAAACATTATGCTGTACACCAGAAATTGACATAACATTGTAAACTGACTATACTTCAATTAAAAACATGGTTAAAAAAAATAAGAACAAAAAACCCCACCCTTGATACAGTATATTTGTGTGAATGAATACATGCATTACATTATTCCAAAATCGAAGAAATCAAAGCTGGGAAGAACCTAGGGGATTATCAAGAACATTTCTAGTGAAAGCAGCGTTGCCAGGTTCTGGGTCTCCCGCGGGCCAGTCCTTTCTAAGAGACCAAGGAAAGGAGATTCTCCCACTCCTTCAGAGAGACAATTACACCCTCAAAATGACAGCGTTGTTAGGAATCCTTCCCTAATGTTCTGTTTTTATTTTTGTTTGCTTTTTTTGTTTGTTCTGTTTTTGTTTTCACGCCCTGCCTAATATCCAGTTTTCCGGGCTGTAATGGAGCATTTGTATTTTTCTGGCGGCGCACTGGTGCCTCACTTTTCACACTCAGTGTATCTCCTCATCCACTGTCCTTATTCTCTGAATCTCAGTTGTGGGACACCCAAAAATCACATCCTTGAAGTAATTCTCCTTTACTAGACAAGAATCAACGGCTTCCAGAGAGACCGTGGTGTGCTGGCAGTGAGTTGATGAGAGTAACGCTGTCATGCATTGATACCGGCTGATGTGCACCAAGAGCTGCCCGGACTCCCCCCGCCCCCCACCCCCCGCGAGCCCTGCTCCCTGTGTTCCAGCCGCCTCCTCCAGTGTGCCCTCCCACCTCCGGGCCTTTGCAGAGGGGCTTTCCTCTGCCTCCCATGTCCTCTTGCCCCCGGCCAGGGCCCTGCATACAGCTGTGCAGGCTGTTCTCTGGTCGAGGGCACCCAGCAGATGGGCCAGGGGGCCCTGAAACCCAGCCCACGCTCGGCCACACCTGCCCTACGGTAGGGGCACTTTTCCTAATCTGCTCAAAGCCACCTTGGGGCTGATACCTCGTCCTTCTGGTTCACTCTCATTCTTTCTTCCAGTCTCTACTCAAACGTCACGGAAGGATTCTGTCCTTTGATTAGATCAGGACCCAGTGGAGTTCTGTGTGATTTTTCTGTCTAGTCCTTGGCCCAATTTGGAGACTCAAATCTGTGTGATTATCTAATTAACATCTAAATCCTCAGCTGGTCTGAAAGCTCCACAAGGGCAGCAAGTGGGTCTGTGTTTGCTCCTTTCGGCATTTCCAGCCCTTAGCGCAACGTCTGGCACTCAGTAGACGCTCAGCGAATCTTTGCGGGATGAGCCCCTGGCTGGCGCAGTGTGCTGAGCGCTGTGCACGCATTGTTCCACGCATTAGCTCCTCACGGCGCCGACCACGAGCTGCTGTCGCCCTTCTAGAGCGAAGAAACTCGGCCATAGAGGGGTAAAGCCAGTCGTTCAAGGTCACTGACCATTTCCTGCTGAGAATGCAAACTGCCCAGGAAACACAGGGAGTGGCCCACAGAGAAGGAGGGCAGCTCCCGAGGTCATGTATATGGAATTCAGGGTCTGGCAGCTGCAAGTGTTAAATAGAGGAAAACACAGCCATTTGCCGAGAAGGAAAAAAACGAGGGAAGAAAACGCTGTCACCATAGAAAATGCCGTCTTCCTGCAACCTTACAGTAATAACTTGGCAGGGCTTCGTTTGCCTGAAGCCCCACAGGGAAACCCAACAACAGGGCAGCAGAACAAAGTGCAGTTTGTCGCTTGTATCCGAGGGGAGATTTGATGGCGCCTTTCCGTTCAGCTACGATTTTCCTGCTTTAAGTATGTTTTTCTCTAACTGACGGTACAAAATCCTCCAAGTATCAGTATTCCCGCTTTGGAATAGCAGTCAAGGAAAGAATAACAAATCTGGGGACACAACAGGCCGGGCCAGCCCAACAAAGGGCTTGCACCGGTAATGAAACCCCAAACCACTTTGCATCACAATGACATCTCAAAAAAATAAAATGAGATTTCTAATAGGCCTTTAAACAGTAATATGAGGCCACCTTTAGTGACATCCCTGCTTTCATGGCTAAAGAATGGGGCGCTGTCTAGTTCCTCCAGCAAGAGTAAGTACGAGAAGGCCAAATGAAAAGGACTTAATCTTCAGAGAGCGGTCCCCAGGTATTATCAATCATTTCAGCAGGCAGGCCTGCAGGCATAGAAGCCAGGCCAGGCCCTTTCTCTTTTGGAATCAGTGCAACTGGCTTCAGGTCAAATAAAAATTGAGATTTAGCAGAGGCGACTGCTGATCACCGGGGAACCGGGGACGGGAGGGGAGGAGAGAGGAGACGCATGTGTCAATCACAGAAGGCGGCAGCCAAGGCTCCTCAAGGGCATGAGTTGGACGTCCCCAGAGCAAATAGGTCTACGCGTTCCAACTGGCAAAACAGGACTGCTGAGTGTGTTTGTAAGAAGAATTGTCTTAGTGGTAGTTCTCATTTGTTATGTCCTCCTTCTTCTCAAAAGTGAATTGAATATATGTGAGTCACAACAACTGATGCTGTAATTCTGAGAAGGAACAAGAATTTATTTTTCTGATTGCCTGTGTATGTAAAATATGCACACACACACACCCCCCCCACATTTGGATGCTCAGTAAAAGATCTCAGGACCTAAAGAAGCTACAGCGTGCTTACAAAATATATAAGAGAATCTAAGAAATTAGTCTTTATTAATCTCTCCATCTAGTTCTAAGACAAAAGTACCAAACAAAATGGCATTTAAGAAGAATGAAGCAGAAAGGAGAAATCCTTGCTTTATATCTAAAACTGAATCTTGAAATCCAAATTTTTTCCCACTTTTCATTAGGTAAGAGAGTAAGTTATTTTCTTGTAACATGAAAACACAACCCAGATGCAAAGCCATTTACAAAATGACACAGGCCCTAAGTCAACCATCATTCATAAAGCCTTTCACCAATTCATATAGCCAGTTCCTGGTGACATTTACCCATCGTATTCAGCAAAAGAGGTTACCCAGTAGTCTCTGCCCTCACCTTAACTGGTTTCCCAAACATTCTGTGTTGGAGGCATCACAGTCTTGAGTAATGAACTTCAAATATTTGGAAGAAGTACAATAGATGTTATGCAGAATGGTACTTTCAGACTAGCCACTAGGACAGAATCTCATAGGATTCTGCGACGTCCAGCCTTCTACGGCGGAAGCAATAGCTCCGACAGCCAGTAGGGAAGAGCTGCCTGCGTTAATCTCTAACAGCCTACAGCACACTTAGGCATCCTGGTTCCTAGGACGTGATCTCGCTTCACCCCGTCACCAACTCCACCCTGGGAGACGATCAAGCAGTTATTACCCCAGCATCAGCCTAAATCACTCGCCTAGGTGAACACAGAGCCAAGTCCCATTCTACCAACCCCAGGGATGGAAGCCACATGTGGGTCCAGTTAACAGTGTTCACTAAACAACTCAGTGTAGGACCATGTGCACACCCTTGGGCTGCAGGTATAACCAACTCAAAAATCAGGCTGTGATACTTAAATGCTGTGTGATAAATATGCCCAGGTTGCTGATTTTGGAATTCTGGCCTCCAGAACTGTTAAGAGAATAAACCTGTGTTGTTTTAAGCCTCAAAGGTTGTGGTAATGCATTCAGCAGCCACGTGAAAAGAATACATCAACTAATAAATGGCAGGGCTAAGATTGGAACCCAGATGTGTCTGCCGTGTGCCTCACACGGGCTCCCCAAGCTTGTTCGCAGAGAGTCGCCTAGAAATAACAGGCAGAAGGGGAGGAAGCAGTACC